TTACCCAGATCTGGTCGGATTAAACAGACACCTGATTCGGATTCAGCGACCTCGAAATCATACAGATACCATAGTCTTGTCTTTCGAACCGTCCACTATTCTTTGTGGGGCTATGCGAATAACTCGGCATAATGTCCAATACTATTTTTCGGAGGCTTCATTAAGTTTCAGGAATTTTTAGAAATTTGACAACATTTTTTGTCTTAAAAGTGTTAAATAACCTTGGATTTGCGTTCAGTGACCTCAAAAACATTTAAACGAATTTTTTGAGACTGATTTTAACTTTTCTATCCAAAATACATCATGAATGACCTTGAAATGACCTTGAATGACCTCTAGAGTGTATCGTAGGGATAAACAAACCTCGGATTCGAGTTCAGTGACCTCTAAATCATAAGCATGCATTTTTTCAGATTTTTTGGAGGTCATTTCTTGATTTGACCTTCAAATCACCTTGAACCTGATGTGATGGAGTTTAACCGACCTCGGATTCGTGATCAGGGATCCAAAAAAACCCTATATACCATAGTCACTTCTGACGATAGTCTCTAGATCAAATGTTGACCTATGTGTTATTTTTGTGATAATAAAAAATTGGAACAGCACTATCTTGTAGAAAATTTCATTTGAAATAAAAATGATCTCCAATCGAAATATTGAGGAAAAATAAATAAAAAAGCATTTTTTGCTACGTAAATTATTGTTAATAACATTTTTTCCTCACTGTGCGACGCTTGTGCTTTTTAATGTGTTGTCTATAATATATTTCTAGTCGATTTGAAAAAAAAAAATTGGGGTTTTTGGAAAATTATCATAATCAGAGAGAGTGTTTTGGGCCTCCGCCTTCTGGACTATCAATTTTTATCAACTCTGCAGATTTAATTTTTTTGAACAAAGTGATAGTGGAGATGAAGTAAAATAAGTAATATTTTTTCATTTCCTTGTATAGATGGACACGGAGCATTAAAAGATTTGTTCAAAAAGATTTATTTCTTGATACCTATTCTTTCATAAATTAAGAAGACTTGCAATATTATAATTGGTAATAGACAATTTGGAAAAGTACTATAAAAACTAATTAATAAACAGTACATTTATAACAATTTAATATATTACTCTTCCCGTGACAGTTTTTGTTATTTGGAATCTAGCAGCGCCCAATTTTTCTAATACCGAAAACAAATGGCTCGTGGAAAGTAATAAAGTGGTTTTAAAAATGAAAGAAAACAGAGAAGGATTAGGGTTATGAACTCAACCATATTTGCCGCAAATGAAACATACATCCGCTTCTCGGATCCGTCTCGACCTAAACACAATGGAGGAAACCAATAACAGAGCTGAAGCAGCGCAATGAATCTCGGATGGAACGAGTATCGAACCGTAAATACTTTATAAAGAAGCATTTATTAATATTGAAGTTGATGCTCAACTTGCAGAATGAAATACTGCAGAGCAGAAAAAACCGGAGATTAAAAGATGGGAATATATTTCGATGAATGTTATGGAGGGAAACGATTAATATGTTGAATTAATGTATTGTAACGCATATTAATCCTTTAATATTTGAATAAAGCATGCACGTAACTGTAATTTACATGGCAGGCATTTAAAAAATGTTGGCTGATCCCTGCAGAAAACTTTATAAATCATCATTGTTAGTATAAAATAAAATATAATCAACATTTATCCATCTAGTTCGTTAGTTACGTTCTAAGAAAGGGGAAGTGAAGTGAAGTGAGGGAATATAAAAAAGTGGTATGCATTTTGCAATTCAAAGTGAATTCTCTATAACTTTATTTCTATTCTTTTTTTAATTGCAAAAGGCTGATTCTTCTTGAAGTAATATTAAAACATTTGGCATATGGCCATTTTTCCACTTAAAAACTGGCTTCATTTATAACAGCAATTTCCTTTAATAAAGAAAACGTTGTCGCGGAATTAAATTTAATTGCAGAAATCGTGAAACATTGCATTTAGTACTGACATTGAATCTTTGTCACGAACGTGATTTTACATGGTTCATTCAAGTAGAACAGTTTCACTTTTTACTCTTTAAACCTATGTTTATTGACGATGATTCACTGTTTACTTGTGCGCTTTTTAAATGCGTCAGATGGTTTGTCAGCGATGATCATTCAAAGTGATCCGTGTAAATGTGCCCAAAGCAAATAATTTTATTCTTTTTGAAGGATTACAATCCTTGATTGTTACCACCTTATTGAGTCCTCAAGTTCCTTACTAACTGAACACTTGAACACTTGTGGTCCAATTAAACACTTGTGGTCCAATTAAATAAGCCTTTAAATCGCAATTTTGGTTAACTTGCCTGAATTTTTGATATAAGTTAGTTTGAGGTAACAATAAGTAACAGTAATATTTTTTCAACCCCCGGCCAGGGGTGAAAAAAGATAAATTAAAGGGGTTTTTCAAGATAACTCAAAAGGGGTAAGAGTTAGAAAAAGAAGTATAAAAGTTGTAGAGCATAAAATTCTACATAAAAATGGCGTATTGACTTTTTCTTGTACTATTAAAATTAACAGAGTTAGGGAGACTAGAAGTTTAGGGATGATTTCAGAAATTTAAAAAATCATAACAATTAGAAAAATTAATGAATTCAAAGTTATTAACAAAAGTTTAAATAAAATGAATTTTTTTGAGGAGTTAAAGAAAAATGCGTTATTTATTGGAACATCCAGTATTTATCTGCATAGAATATCGAGCACCTAATAAATTATTATTACCATTAGGAGTACTAGAATATTACTATATTATTAGAGGTAATATATCAGAACAGGCATGAAAGTATGAAACAAACGTTAATGTGCTGCTGTCATTAATTCATATTTGTTTACGTCTAGTTTACCATTGACTGCTTTCCTTTGTTACAAATTGATTATTTATTAGTATTATTTTCTAATAATGTCATACTCCATCACCGAAGCGTACGACATGCTTACAGTGTCCTTTGAATGTTTTGAAAATACTGTTATTGCCGCACGAGAGTACTCCTTGAGATATCTGGAAGGAACACATTTCTCACGGGTGGTTTTTACCCGCCTTGAAAGACGTTTGAGACAAATATGTTCTGCCAGTACCAGCTGCAAATAGATACCAAAGAATCTCCAATGAGGAAATATGATAAACGTACTAGGATATATTGAAGATTATCCTCGGTCAAGTATAAGAGATATAGAAAGAGACATAGGATTATCAAAATCAACTATCTAGCAGATTTTAAAGGACCATAAAATGCATTCATACCATGTCGAATTGCATCAAGCTCTCTATGTATTAGATACTGATAAAAGATTGCAATGTTGTCAATGGACACTTAACAAATTACAAGACGATCCAAATTTTTCATTTATACCTACTGCTGAAGCTACATTTACTAGCTGGGTAAAGTAAACTTACACAATACTTACTCATTATTGGGCAGCAAATAATCGGCACTGGATGATTGAAATTGATCACCAGATTCAATTTAGTGTGTGTGTGTGTGTGTGTGTGTGTGTGTGGAGCGGTATTGTTGAAAGAAAAATAATTGTGTTCATTTTTGAAGAAACTCTCAATGACGAGAGCTATTTAAACTTACTCAGGACCACTTCTTTTGGAAAATGATTCATTAGCCATCCCTTTAAATATGTGGTATGAGCATTATGGCTGCCCGGCGCATTTTTCACGAAATATCAGAAATTATTTGAACTCGCAATCTCGCAACAGGTGGATTGGAAGAGTTGGACCATCCGGTTGGCCTCCCAGATGTCCCGATTTGACAGTTTTAGACTTCTATTTATGGAGAAACTCGATCAACTACGAGTGAGGATATGATTAATCGTAATAGAAACGGTATAAACTTGATTTCAATAACAGAAATTGAAACTGCTGTATCTTCTACCCACTAAAGGTTTCTAAAATGTCTAGAAAATAATGGAGTTCACTTTGAACACTTGTTAAATTAAAATTGTAAATTTATGTCCTATTTCCTGTTTTATTTTTATGAACAGATTATTTTTATTTTAGCTATTATTGTTAATTTAATAAATATAGTTTATTTCAGATTGTTATTAAATTATTTGAACACTCGGACTCCTAGTGGTAGGAATAATTTATCAGGTCCTCGGTATTCTATGCAGATAAATACTGGATGTTGCAATAAAAAACGTATTTTTCTTTAACTCCTCAAAAAATATCATTTTATCAACTTTTGTTAATAACTTCAGTCTGAAAGAAGATACAAGGTTCTGGCTTGAGATATTTTTTTCGTTATTTTTTGTGTAAAAACACCATAAAATTAAAAAGGTAGCATTACGTTTGAATTTTTAAATTGAAATTCAATTTAATGTTATAATTAAGCAATCAATTACCGTTTCAACAAGCCCAACTTCATTGAAATAGGTTTACGTAATCCAGAGTTGTCTTACTTTTTGTCATAGGAAATAATTTTCACCCCCCTTCCTATATTTTTTGAGATGGAGCAAAATTTTTCCTACAAAAATTTTGAAGAATGAGCAGAAGATCTCAAAAACATTAAGTTGTACCTATCGTTCCACTTGATTTTTTTAAAATAAAGCAGTTTTTTATTTTTATTTTAGAAATATACCCTCTAGCGGCCAAAATTAGAAGCTAAAAATAATTTTCCTGAATTTCTAGTGACCATATTAGTCATCAATTTTTTTCCCGATCTATAGGACAAATAGTTTCAGAGTTACAGCCGGTCGATGACCTTAATAGGACACCTGGTATATTGTATTTTATTAACAAATTCCGGATACTTTTTTGGCAGAATGTTTTAGAGATATATTGTACACGGCATATCCTAGTCATTCTAATATTATTAAAACAAAATGTTTAAAAACAAATAAATGATCTGTTACTGAGAACCTGAATCTTGTTTTTTTTTTCTCTTAAGGTTTAGTCGTATTGTTATATTTTAAAATAAAATTGAGTTGCATAAAGTAATGAAATGTATTTTACAATTTATTTAGAAAAGTAATAAATAAATAAAATAATAATCTATATTATTAGAGTAATAGTATTTAACACATAATTATATTTAGTATATAAGGATAATTTTAGATTTCGTTTTCTCTAACTTCTCTTTGGCAATTCTAATCACGCGAATTTTATCGTCCAAACTAGCCACTTGAAACGTAATACTCCCGTCCTCTTCCTTCTTAGCATTAACCACTGGAATGTGCAGGCCTAATTTCTCCTGTAGGATAATTTGGGCGGTATACTGGGCGTCGTCATAGGGAGGAAGGATGCCCTCAAACCTCAGTGTTCTAGACAACGTATCGTCTTTCGCGACGACATTCCTCAGGACATCATTTATCTCTTTTAACGTCTTTATGTCGCCGTTTAGTTCGTCCACAGTGTTGGATAGGTTCAAAGCCGCTTCACACATGGGACTGTACTGTGGTGTTCCGGAATTGGACGACGCGTGAGAACGATTGTGGGGCTGTTCCTCCACGATATCTGCAACAAATTTAATCAATAGGTGACATGTTTCTCGTAAATGAAAGCGGTTTGGATGGGTTTTATTTAAGTGGACGGCGATAAACTATGGCGTGAACAGTAAATGTAATTTGACAAATGGTTCCTCATTCAACTGTGTAAATCGGATTCATGCATATGAAAACTACATATTTAAATGAAACATATTTTCATTAATAAAATATTGACTTTGGAGTTGCCTCTAAGCTGTAATGAGGGGAAGTAGATTATTTTCTATCAATAATTTCCTATTCAAATTCCAGCGATTTCTGCACTAGAACACAATACATGATACAATTTTGACATGTTTGGGATGGTTCTCTCCAAAAAGACAGGTAAAAATTAAGTGTTCAATTTTTGACATAACTTGAAGTATGAAACTCTCTTCCCAATATTTGTATTGTTCAAGAAGTAGAAAAATAGCGTAATTTTTATACTACACTTACAGAGTGTTTTAGGCCCAAAATATTCGGGTGGTCAGAATATAAATTTAGGAAAATATTTTCTTTTTGAGATTAAAGTTATTGAAATTTGAACTTTGACGATATAGATTTATCAAAATTGAATTAATTACTTATTTAGTAAATGATAGAAGGAATAGCTATCTCTAAAGGCGCCAGAAATCCAATGTCACTGGGATGTTTTGAAAAGTTGATTACTGCTTTTAATTCTAGTTGTTTTTGAGGAAAACGGATGTCTTGCATTTTCGATTTACTACTTTTTTAATTTACTTTACCATTATCAAGCAAATACCTTAAAATAACTAAAACTAGGTACTCCTATTTATTTAATAGAATATCTCTACCTAACTGAAAAGAAACATAAATTTTAAATAAATGACTTGGCAGCATAGTTATTTGTGAACAGGTTGATTCTTTGATCCAAATGATCATTTTGGCAAAAGAACTTATTTGTATAAAAAAAAATTTCTGCAGCGAAAATACCCAATTAAATAAGACAAAATACGACAAATAAATAGTTGCAGAACAATTATTTCACAAAAAAAGCTTATACAGGGTGTTAAAAAAGAGTGTAAAATATTTCAGGAGGTATAATAGTATGAAGCAAAATAAGCAGAAAAGTCTTAATAAACATGGGTTCGCAAAGTAACGGTTGCGGAGATATGGACCACTATTCGTTTTTCAAACATTTTATTTTATTAGGAATAAACCGACAAAGGAAGCTTTTAACAAACAAAAAACAAAGTTACAGAAGATGTTCAAAGTGCCCTCCGTCCATTTCCAAGCAGGCACGACATCTTCGTCTCAACGATATTCGAACTCTTTCGAAAACACCCTCCTTGGTTTGGATTTCTTGACACTTTTGATTAATCCGTAGCTGCAGCTCTTCCAGGCTATTTACAGGAGTACCATACACTAATGTCTTCAAATATCCCCAAACAAAGAAATCTAGAGGGTTCAGATCAGGCGATCTTGGAGGCCATAAAACAGGTCCGGCCCTTCCTACCCATCTATGTGGAAAAGTTTGGTGTAAATGCTCTCTAACGGCCATGGAAAAATGAGCTGGAGCACCATCATGCTGGAACCACATTTGTTGCCTCTGATTCAAAGGAATGTCTTCCAAAAACTCATACAGTGTGTTCTGCAGAAAGTTGAGGTAAGCAGCGCCTGTTAATCGGTTTGGTAAAACAACAGGACCTAGAAACCTGTCACCTACAATACCCATCCAAATGTTTAATGAAAAACGTGCCTGATGTCCAGATTCTATTAGAGCATGAGGATTTTCGTCGGCCCAAATATGCGTATTGTGAAAATTAAACACTCCATTTCTTGTGAACCCGGCCTCATCAGTAAAAAGAATGTTTGCAAGAAAACGAGGGTCTTCAGCATCATGACGTAGAAACCAGCGGCAAAAAACCAAACGTGCTTGATGATCATTTATTGGATTTAAGGCCTGTACTCGTTGCACATGGTATGGATAAAGCAGTTGCTCGTGAAGGATTCTCCAAACAAGAGGACCACTAATTCCTACCTCGGCTGATATTCTCCGCACACTCGTACCTGGATTCTGCTCTACCAGTGCTAGAATTTCTTCTTCTGCTCTAGGAGTGGATACCGACCTTGGTCTTCCGGATAAATGGCACTGTTTGCTCAAGGAACCGGTATCACGCAATCTTTGGTGAATTCTTCCAAACATGCGTTGTGAAGGAATCTGGCGATTTGGATAAGCGTCAACATAAAGACGTCGCGCTTCGGTGGCGTTCCCATTAGCACGACCATACATGAAATGCATGTCTGTTAATTCTGCGTTAGAGTAACCAGCCATAGCGAAAGAAAACTTGTGCACTGAGAACAACTGTCAAATACGTACTGTTTATTTCACTAAACATCAACCAACTATTATAAGAAAATACACAACGTTTTTGCAAAATAAAAAAAGATGCTAAAAATCATTAAACATTCCATATCTCCGCAACCGTTACTTTGCGGACCCATGTTTATTGAGACTTTTCTGCTTATTTTGGTTCATACTATTACTTCCTTAAATATTTTACACTCTTTTTTAACACCCTGTATACTATTTTGCTATAAATGCGATTTTAAATGCACACAATGTAATACATATATACAAAGTCGAAAAAAATACTTACACAATTTTGCATTTTACTAGAGGCAAAATGACACAAAAAGGTACTCTTGTTTCAATATCGATAATCTTTAAAAACACTAGGATGTTTTTATATTTAATGTAATTGATGAGAATTGTTAGTCACAACTGTTAAAACAATTTTAAATTTTCGAAGTAACCAATTTGTGCTTTACGATATTTAAAATGTTGTTCCCAGCTCATTTACATTGCTAAATTAATAAATTTAAATAATTTTTAAAGGAAGTCTCTGTTAATAACTTTCGACGGAAAAGAACTGAAGAAAAGTTGTACCATAGAGAGGATTGAGGTTTCCCTTTCTACTTCGTATAAAATAATTTAAGGAAAGACAAAGTTAATACTCATTTTCGTCCTATAGTATATCACTATGGTTTGGATTATACTGCGGATAAAATTAATTTCTACAATTATATCTACTTTTCTCAAAACTAGTTATAAATCTTGTCTAAATTATAAAACGATCTTTTTAGCATGTTTTAAAGATTATTATTATTGGGATTTATTCTTATTCATTTGAATGTCCTTCATTGGTTATACATATTTCTTTGAATTGTATAGTGGCATTTAACTTCGCAGTTTTATTTCGACACTACAACTCAAAAATATATTTATTGTTCATTAATTTAAACATCCGGTACGTACCTAATTTTATCGATTCATTATGAACCATAAATATTCAACTAATTTTTGGATATATTTAATTTCAGGTATAACCTTCAGATAAGAAAAGGAGGTATTTTGAAATATTTTCCATTTCATTTACAAAAAAATATACTACTAAAATATGCGTATATAGTGTTATGATTTGTTCTTAAAACATATAAAAAAGGGACCAATGTAGAATTTTCGAAATAAATAGAAATATTCAATAGTAATACAGATAAAACTGACACAAAAGGGATGTGGAACACAGAAAATATTAAAATGAAGGATATTTTTAAATGTAAAATAAGTTTGCAGTAATATAAGTTAAAATCATTCGATAAAACGTCTCAACTGTCAAAATTATATGATTGAAACTAAAATTATACATTAAATAGTAAATAAAATACACTCAAGCATTATAAAAAAGTTAAAAAGCATAAAAAAGAACCATTTAGTAAAGTCAGATATTAATGTACAGACTAGAAAGGTAGGCAAACTTCGCTGACGCGAAGTTTGACCTTTCTCTCGGGCCTTTGGCCCTCGAGCCGCGCTGCGCGCGGCCCGAGCACCGCTCCGCGGTGCTCTCCTCGCTGGTTAGTAAATATAACATTTTTTGAAACACCCTGTACTTTAGTTTTTAAACACCCCGTATATAAAAGTTTATTGAGAACGTTTTTCAAAAAAGAGTAGGCCCCGCTCGGGGNATTCATTATGAACCATAAATATTCAACTAATTTTTGGATATATTTAATTTCAGGTATAACCTTCAGATAAGAAAAGGAGGTATTTTGAAATATTTTCCATTTCATTTACAAAAAAATATACTACAAAAATATGCGTATATAGTGTTATGATTTGTTCTTAAAACATATAAAAAAGGGACCAATGTAAAATTTTCGAAATAAATAGAAATATTCAATAGTAATACAGATAAAACTGACACAAAAGGGATGTGGAACACAGAAAATATTAAAATGAAGGATATTTTTAAATGTAAAATAAGTTTGCAGTAATATAAGTTAAAATCATTCGATAAAACGTCTCAACTGTCAAAATTATATGATTGAAACTAAAATTATACATTAAATAGTAAATAAAATACACTCAAGCATTATAAAAAAGTTAAAAAGCATAATAAAGAACCATTTAGTAAAGTCAGATATCATATTAATGTACAGATATAAGCAAAGGGAAAAGTTCAGAATTATGACAAGTTGTGGAAAGGAAAAGAAAAAGGAAAGCTATGGGAAAAGGAATTTCACACATAAATGAGTAACATGCAATAAATCTTGTAGAAATGAAAATATAGCATAGCAAGCAGTATTTATGAGTGCAATTAAACCAGAGCCATTGTAAAAAGTTTCATATTATGTTTATAAAATGACAGATCTGTGATCGTCAGAATTTGTAAATTTCTAGTTTTAAAAGTGTTGTAGAACTGCAAAATAGTTTGTGCAGTGTGCAAAAGACCTTCTTAACATCATAAACTGTATTGAGGTTCCAACCCAAGTTCAAATTTGTGTGTAAACTTTAAAATTGATGAACCTAAAACTTTTCAATCGTTATGTTTCAAAAAACAGTAAAGGACTGTTAGAAGAGTGAAAAAGGGTAAATAGTAAAGACAGTGAATGGACAGACAGTCAGAAAAGTAAGCTGTATAGCTTAATTTAGCTAAAATTTTCAAAATTAAGTAAAATTTGGTTAGAGTT